GATTACAAAACTTGTAATTTAAATGTATATTCTGAAATCCGTTACAATTGGTAATAAGTCTCAGATGTAATAGGCAAAAGTTGTTGTTGTTGAGCTTAACGCCATTTTTCATGGCGACCAGTATTAATGGTGGAGGAAGAAACCGAGAAATTACCGGAAAGAACCACCGACCCACGAGAAGCTACTGGCAAGCTTACTCACATATCCACATTCGCCGAATCCTAGACTCGAACCCACGCAGAGGTGAGATGGCAGTGATCCGTAACGGACAGCGCTTTAGACCACTCGGCCACTCCGGGACCCGGGAGGCAAAAGTATTAAATGATAATGATCACCTGAAGAGTGCACGGGCTTTGTACTAAGGCTACACATATGTGGTCAACATGCGTACAGTATAGTCTGTAATCTTGACTCCCACTCCCAAGTTACTTATGACACCACATGATTGAAGATTATTGATTTCATTTTTATGTAATGACACCACATGATTGAAGATTATTGATTTCATTTTTATGTAACATTGATAATGAAATTGAGAGTGATCAAGAGTTTCAAATTAATTTCAAAACATTTTAACACATGTAAGGCTTACAAATAGGCCTGGAACAAGTCACTACCACATAAATGTTACCTCTTACTATGAAAGGTGGACAAAATATAAAACCTTCAAGACAGGCTGTATTGCATATAACAGAGACTGCACGTTTCCAAAAACCCTAAAACAAATCACGGAATATTAAAGATAAAATCCAATCGTCCTGTCGGAAGTAGATACCCGACATCTGACATCAATCTCATAACGGTCAATATTGCTCCAAGTAATCGTGTGAATCAGGTGCTCATCTTAACATATGGATGTACATGTTTGTATGATATATCCAGTATGCAGTTTATAAACTGACATTATCTTATTTTTCATTTTTCAAGGAACGACTATTAAGCAACATATAAATGGCGGAAGTGATCACCCAGATGACAAAACTATATCATTGGATAGGTACATATTGATCACTAATGGCGGCTGATATCCATTCGGGAATTATTTAACGCTTGGCTGGCATGCTATCCTAAATTATCTTGTAACTTCATCATTACAACTGTACAGAGAGATTCAGTACACCAAAGCAGACCTCAGTGCAACCGCAGTAAACCTGGGGTTACATGTGAGACTTAATGAGACAACAATGGCAAATACAACGGCCAGACTCTTGTTTGCAGCCATAGGTATTTTTACTCCAGCTGGATGCGAGATTTAAGGGACTGCAGGTAGAGTAGCAAATGTTACAACGGATCAAAATACGAAGCAAATGTCGAACAAACTTACAATGGAACGAGAAATGACTAATAATCGTTGTAGCACAGGCGCTTCCCATATCAACGTTGCACTTTATGGCCATAGTACACAATTAATTTCACTATATATTCTCTACATTTGTTTCTCAGTACTGAACTTTCCACTGTGTGACAATCAATACAAATCATGTGTTAATCTAAACAACCTTCAAAGATGACTTTATGGTTTAGTTCTTGTCAAGGGTTGACCTGCATTTTTTGAGAGGCTGAATTGTAAACAAAACACCAGGCAACGGAACACAGAATTCACTTCCGGATCATCACCATGACCTTATTACTCAATGTGCACTGTCGCCGAAATACACACAGACAACCACACCATAAGCTCCCATTTTAAAGAATAAACAATTGCCTTTAAATCCTTACCAAGAATGCCAAAAGCTGACTCTAGTATCACCACCAAATTTAGACCGGAAAAAGTGATCTAAAAATAGACTGGGACTACATTCGTGGGTACCGAACCGGATTTTATTAATTGTGTACTGATTCCTTATGTACTGAATTATGTGAATCTTCCTTGTTGGACCTAATTTAGCCTGAACTTTCATACTCCGTTTCCTTTCTTATCGTTGGGCCTGATGGCATGTACTTGCAGGAATATCAAGCATATAATTTACATTGTAACTTAGAATCCTTTATTGCAGAAATTGTGAACGATTATTATTAGCAACAAGAAGCATTTGTAGTGTATATGTAGTATCTTTGAATCATCTGCGTATTCACATGGTAACAACTGATTCAATACATATAAGGGAAAAAGAGAGGGGTACACAAAGAATCTTATCCCTTGTCATAGCCTAAGGCTCATATTTCTTGGGTATAGTCACTTGAAATTATGCATTCCACTATATTTTTAAAAAAAATAATTATGTTACTCTAACATTAGCATCATAAGCAACTCTTTCCGAGAAAAATGTTCCAGGAATATATAGCGTACGCAACAATTCAGTCTCCGCAGCACATTAGGAGTGGGTGGGGTAATAATGGTGAAACACGAGAATAAGGACACTTTTCTTACAATTGTTATTTTCAGTTTTGAAAATTAATTCGATTTTCTGCTGTCAATTTAAAAAGATGTGTATATGCATCTTATGACTAAAGACAATTTTTTTTATTTTTCATTGGTTAAAAAGACTGGAATAATTTTCATTGCTTATTTTATTTCTATTGTTATCCATTTTTTCATTGCATATTTTAGACATACCTATCATAATCTATTAATCTTGTTCCACAGTTGTTGCACCGTTCATTTTACGAACGGTAAGCTGTATACAGCTTTGTTTTTTTTTTTGGCACCTAAAGGGCTTTAATTAGTGTGTACATACTGTAACAAATCACAAGAGGTTTCAAGAAACAAATTATGTATTGTTCAGGTTTTGCTTATTGGTACTTGCATTTTATTATTTTATGAAGTGTTATACTCTCAATATCCCTGAATTTGGTCCATTTCTTTTACTTTCTTGAATATTTATTTACGACAAATACATACTTTCTCAGAAACCAGGTCTTGCGACTAGTTTCTATATTATGGTATTTAAATTTTATACGTGTATGCTATATTGTCTAAATTATGCAATATTGTATTATGTTAGGCATGACCACATTATATGCTTTAAGTTGCATTACATTTTTCTACTTTGTTTCTCTGCAGACAAAAAAGTTTATATATATATATATATATATATATATATATATATATATATATATATATATATATATATATATATATATATATATAATGTACATACATACATTGATGCGTGTAGGCTCGTACAAATATAACAAGAGAAAAGATTGAAGCCAACAAGCTTTGTATATCTTAACAGGATAATTTATTTCTCTAGAAACCATTATAATAATTGGAAATAGGAATTACGGTTTGTAAAAGTAATCCAAAATTTAATTCTAAGATTGGAAAATATAATTCCTATCATGAACAGTTTTTATTGAATCCGATTTAGAATCTCGATGAAATTCCAATATGGAGGCGATGACGTCAGATAATATATGTACTGATGGTAACACATCCTCGACTGAAGCACAGTCTATAATGTTTTGTTAGACTCCAGAATACATTTACACTGGGGTTATATATTCAGCTCTTCGTTTATAACTGCGTAAAACTGTTCTAATCTCCAATACTTAGATGATAATACAACTATTTAGACCATATTTGAAACGTCTCATCATCTATTCACTGTTAAAATGGCTGATGATTTGTTAAAATTTTAGAAATGGTCCAGAAGACTTATTGTAATCATATAAAAATGACTGTCGTATGCAATCATCTTACATCACTCTCTGCTGATATAGTACTAAGCGTTGCTGAAATTCAGATACTTGAGATTGTGGTGCTTTTGCACCAACACACTCTATCGCTTCATTAGCAATATCAGATGCAAGAAATTTTTGTCCATCACAAAGACGGTTTAGCTCATCCTCAATACGACGACGGTTTTGTTCATACTCTACTTAAACGACAAGTATATAGGTAATTTTTACTCATCGTGATATTTGGATATTATACTCACGTGCAAATTGTTTTGCTTGTTGTACCGTTGCTGACGCAATGACAGCCGGTGGTGGAGTAGCTCTTGCAGAATCAGATGGACCAGTATGATGACTATGGGTCTTAAAAGTTCCATTATGTCAGTTGTTTGCATTCTCCTTAGTACTTTCATTTCATGCTTCCTAGCAATCTGTTGTAGACGAAGAAAAGGAGACACGCTTTTATAAGGGGGAGGCTTTTCCTAAGTAATGTGTCTGTTATAGACTTGTTCAAATTTTTGTACTTTACCAGGATCAGAAACTATAGTCGTTTCAGTCCTATCTATTATTTCATTTATTTCTGTTTTGTGCATTTTTTTATCATTCTGCGCAATCACATGTGGTTTTGTAATCAAGTGCTTTTGTAGTTAAAAATGTAAATTTATCTTTACGAGTCTGATACTATTTATCAACAAATGATCCACATAGCCTGTAGGGTCGTTTACGTGATTTGACTCCTTTGCCACATTTTTAATACACGGTCAAGCAAAGCACTGAGTCCAGAGCGCAACGATAGGTGCATAACAATTGCTGGAATCCAACACTGACATTAGACTTTTCAAGGGAGATTACAATTTAATTCTAGATGCGATTTAGGTACTCTATTGGACTATATAACTTTATGCGTGTGGCATTCATGAACCTTTCTACGTAAAATTATGATAGTATCGTATGTATACTTGATTAATATGTTAACCAAAGCGTTATTGTATGTATGTATGTATGTATGTATGTATGTATGTATGTATGTATGTATGTATGTATGTATGTATGTATGTATGTATGTATGTATGTATGTATGTATGTATGTATGTATGTATGTATGTATGTATGTATGTATGTATGTATGTATGTATGTGATATGATTATGAATTTTAACGTAGCTTTAAAAACAATTCAGTCATATCGCTACGATGTCTGCAGTGTGGTAGTTTATAGTGATGTCTAGCAATGAGGCATCATGCTGCAGACATAAAGCATGATGTCCCAACCACTCACATTACCCTGACACCAGGCCGACCAGTCCTAACACTAACCTCTTAATGCTGAGCGTCAAGCGAGGCAGCTGTTAGTACCATTTTTGTAAGTCTTTAGTATGACTCTACCGGGGATCGAACCCCCGACCTCCAGCTTCCAAGGCAGACGCTCTAACCACTAGACGACCGGAGAGGTATGTATGTATGTATGTATGTATGTATGTATGTATGTATGTATGTATGTATGTATGTATGTATGTATGTATGTATGTATGTATGTATGTATGTATGTATGTATGTATGTATGTATGTATGTGCTTGATCTTTGTCCGTGATTGAGGATAGAATGATTATGTCCTTCTTGAAATTTACCATCCTGTTGAAGTTGTTTACAGATATTGAATTGATCGTACAGCCTTGATTGCAAACTTTGTGTTCTCTAAGAGAACTCGTTAATCACTTCCTGGTCATTTTATTGTGTTCTAGGCCTTAATATAAACGTTGACGGAAACAAATATGCTAACTTCCTTTTCCATTTCCTAATCCATATAAGGGAGTTGTGATAAATGAATACAATGATTCGAGAAGGATAGTAACTAATGTACACTGTATGTGGAAATATCAAAATAGAAACATTTATTCTTGACTGTTGCTTGTTGACTTTAATTTTTAGAACAAATAACACACTGTACGATCCATACTAGAACTGCAATTGTTAAAGATTTTCATAGTACACGCAACACGGAGAATTATCCTTCTTAATGTCTCATATTCTTACGAGTATTTTCTCACTTATATATACTGCACCTATGCTATTTTACAAATTATGCACGTGAAAGATTTATAATCGATGCATATAATCGGCAAAATGATAAATCATACCCAAAAATAGAAATAAACATCGATAGCTTTAAAAGATAATGTTCGTACTGTGATAGAAACGAAAAGAAAACGCATTAAAGAAGATCGTTGACTGTGAAATGAAGCTAATGTAAATGCAGATAATAAATCATAAAATGCACTGGACGTTTGAACAGTGACATACAATTTTCATAGGTTTTACAATCTGAAATCATTCTCATTTGCTTTAGAAGAAACTTCCCTTTTTACATTAACTTGTTAGAGAGGTATAGTTTATCACTGAATATAGTTAACATGAGTCATAGTTAACTAGAATATAGTTCATAAAAATATTCTCACATATATGCTCTCTCCCTCATTCACAAATATGCATGCCTTCAGTTTGATAAATTTTGGGACTGTTGTAGTAGCTGTGTGAAACTGTAGTAGTTGCTGTCTAACTGTACTAGCTGATGTGTGGGTGGTTGGCAGCTACTTTTTGACATTAGCTGGTAGAGCAAACAAAACAAATGTCTAAGCTACATATTTATTCAATGGTTACTTTTTACCGTCTCCAAATTACCACCACTTTATTCAAATTCAAAAACTTATTTTATACCTTAGTCCTTAGCGGACTTCACAGGAGACTACTGATATCATATTTCTTTAACTGGATTGATTGTTTCTGGTACACATAATCTGTGTTTCCTAAATTAAAGTACACATTTGATATCTCACTAATGAGCTGTCCAGAAGTTGATTTGAAAACATACAAATGATTATAATATATCTGATCAGGATTAACAATCACTTTCAACCTCTCCTTCAAAATATAAATCTTAAATAAATGAAGTTTATAGGTAAGGGTTGGAGAAGAGTATTCAATAATAAAATATTTATTTCTTTCAACACAATATACAATTATTCTTGCAAGTTAGAGAAACCTAATATTGTCTCTAATATCATCAATATTTTCAAATTCTAAAACTAGTTATAAGTCTTGTAAATAATCATTCAATTAATGTGCATAAAACACAAATGTCTGTTCTTACTAGGTAGAGAAATGGAACTAAAACCAAATGATTAATGTCCCTAAGGCCATGGGGTTAGCTTGCTGTAAAGATTCTACTTGTATTGTTTTTAGACTGCAGAAGCAGAACATTTCTTGAACGGTGTGGTGTATTCTATGCAACATGGCCATGTACAAGGCCAGAAAATTGGAACACAGCTGAATCATATCAAATGTCCGTACTACACTGTTACAAATATAAACATTGTCATAATATGTTCATATTTTGAATATTATTACGAGTGTTTATAAATTTATAGTGATATGTGGACATGTTTTAAACACCGTTTGCAATATTAAGAATGAATTCGTAGTGTCCAAAATAATAACTTCATGCTTATTATCAGAAAGCATTCAATGTCCTAATGGTACGTGCATTTTCTGAATGTTCCCTATCCTAATTTTTAATTGTCACTCTAATTTATGATCCTGAAACCGGGAAAGAAAATCAATTGTTTTAGTACTTTGTCCTACTTAGTCATTAACATAATTGTTAACAGTTCAAACAGATTTCCTCATGTTATCGAAGCGTCTTCAAATGAAATCTAGCCTTTTTGTGCCAAAAGATACATCTGTAAAACACTTTTTTCATTCTCAGTACGAAATTTTATTCAACGATCTTGGATGATATCTGTACCCATCGACATTCAAAGGTGATCTACTTACAAATCTACTTTGAAAGGCCTAATGATTCATTTATGAGGAAAAATCTGCGTACATATAGCATCTGACCTTTTCGAGTTAATATTTTTCCAAGTCTACTATTATAACTTTCTCAACGAGAGAATATTCACTCAAAATTTTAATGTCCTATCGCACATGAGCTTTCATCCTGCAGGAGAAAATTAATCTGAAAAATAATGAAAACAGAACATTTATTATTGAGGAATCAACAAATACTAGTAACAAAACAACTGAGAGAACTTAAGAAAAAGAATATAATATATTTTTGTTGGACAAGGGATGAGAACATGTCATTCCGAGGAGCAGAAGGAGGTAAAATAAGTTTTGTACAGTTAGTATCAGATATCCCAGTATCTTCCAAAAATTTACACGAATTAAAGAGTGTGATCTCCAATTTGCAATTTGAGAAAAAGCGAATAATTATTTAAGAATAATGTACATTTTGGAAACTTTTTGAACATAAACTCCACAGTACAGAGAAGAATCTGCATGTGCGGCTAGTCATGTTTGACTTGTATCTGTCATTTTCATCGGGAATTATATTTGTTCACACAGTGTGAATAACAACACTCTCGTACTATTCTATCTTCCGTAGTGTTCGGATTTCAGCTGAGAATATTCTCATTCAACTCAGTTACTCGTATATGTACTTTTAAGAGCATGAAACATATGTTCATGAGTACATGTACGTACAAATATATATGCATCTTGTATGTACGCATCTACATTTTTTGTGCATGTTCAAGAATGCAAATGCATATGAACACCCGTGTACACAATGCAATTGTATTTCTACAGTTACCTTACTGTTCTGATCATTGGAATGAAATGGGACTTAACAGTAGACAATTTTCACGATTGCACCTCGAAACCGAACTCCATATTTTACTGACATGTAATTTAAATTATTAATATATATATATAGCTTCAACATTATATCAGATATTTGTTTTAACTTACAAAGGAAAACATTATTTATCAGCTGCATGTCAAACTAACCAGCATTTTATCTTAATCTTGATAAACGTGCAAGCATGACCTCATCTATTGCTTTCTTTATCTTTTCCATACCATTATTCTTTTCACTCAGTCTATGCACAACACAGTAACACAGCATTGTACAAAACAACTCTTATGTATCATTTTATTACACCTTGTCTTCACTGAAAATATGTGGGAAACAGCTAAAACTTACTAAAGTCCCTAATACAAATATTAAAGAATAATTCTCATTAGCCAATATAGAATCTCCTCGCGGTATTCAACAATCGTTCAACGTTTTACCAACATCACAGACATGCCTTACTAAGATTTTGTGTGGACATTGGAACAAATCCGGAACCTATCAAGGGTACTGCGAATTTGTAGTTTCCTTTAAGTATTAAGAATATGACAAAAGCTGTATTACTTAGAAGGTACAGCAGAGGAATTGTCAATTTTAAGCTTTAGTGAAACACATTTTAATTCCAGCATTCATATGGATACTTTAAAACTCGAATAATTTAAAGAAACATTTAGAACAGATAGAAACTGTCACCGAGGTGGCATTAGAGCATACTTTTATAATAAGCTACTTTGCAAACGTATGAACAATTTGAACTTTGTTTCTCATGACATTGGACTAATGTGAAGTAATAATACTTACCTTGGATGTCATGGCATTGGACTGATGTGGAATGAAAATACTTTTATCTGGCTGTCATGACATTGTACTAATCTCGAATGAGAATACTTTTCTCTGGCTGTATGCCATTGGACTAATTTGTGGAATGAGAATACTTTTATCTGGCTGTCATGGCATTGGACTAATGTCGAATGAAAATACTTTTATCTGGCTGTCATGGCATTGGACTAATGTCGAATGAAAATATTTTTATCTGGCTGTCATGGCATTGGACTAATGTCGAATGAAAATACTTTTATCTGGCTGTCATGGCATTGGACTAATGTCGAATGAAAATATTTTTATCTGGCTGTCATGGCATTGGACTAATGTGGAATGAAAATACTTTTATCTGGCTGTCATGACATTGTACTAATCTCGAATGAGAATACTTTTCTCTGGCTGTATGACATTGGACTATTTTGTGGAAAAAGAATACTTTTCTCTGGCTATCATGACATTCGGTTAATGTCGAATGAAAATACTTTTATCTGGCTGACATGACATTGTACTAATCTCGAATGAGAATACTTTTCTCTGGCTGTATGACATTGGACTATTTTGTGGAATAAAAATACTTTTATCTGGCTATCATGACATTCGGTTAATGTCGAATGAAAATACTTTTATCTGGCTGTCATGGCATTGGACTAATGTCGAATGAAAATACTTTTATCTGGTTGTCATGGCATTGGACTAATGTCGAATGAAAATACTTTTATCTGGCTGTCATGGCATTGGACTAATGTCGAATGAAAATACTTTTATCTGGCTGTCATGGCGTTGGATTAGTATCGAATGAGAATACTTTACCTTGGATGTCATGACATTGGACTAATGTCAAATGAGAATACTTTACCTTCGCATATATGAGCTTTATGAACAGGGTACAGAACAAAATACTCCACAACAAATTTCTGGAGAAAGTTTTGTAGCT